AGGTTGACTCAGCCTTCCATCCTTTCGAGGTAGGTAAAATGAGGACCCGGATTGTGGGGGCAATAAGCTGACTTTGTATAAATATACAAAAGTATGAAGGCTATTGCTTAATGCATTATAAGCCACCCCGAGTCTCCGGAGAAGGGCGGCATATAAATTGAACCAATCAATCAATCAATCAATCAATCAATCAATCAATCAATCAATCAATCATGCAGAGCCCAAAACTGCAATATTCACAATGGGATCTGATTAAAGCAGAATAAAGTGAAAGGATGATTCCTCGCGATTTGAAAATGGCACCTCTGCTGTTGCAGCCCTAAAATTACATTTGGTTTTCATGGAGCCAGGCAGCAGAGCTGACTCAACAGAGGTGTGAGGTCAAGCCAGGGGCATATTCCATCTGAGGACACCTGTCCATCTGAGGCTGTCCTTTTAACAAAGAATTTTGCCTTTGATTTTTTTTGGGATATCATTCTGTTCCTTTCAAACTCTCTCTCTAAACCTCTGAAGATTGTTCTGAGTATCATTTCTGCCTGCTAGAATGGGTATCATGGGAGATTTTTAAGATGAGGTTAGAGAACCATTTGTCCAGAATGGTGGGTCTCCTGCTTAAGCAGGGGGTTGGACGAGAAGACCTCCAAGTTCCCTTCCAACTCTGTTCTGTTAAGAGAAACAAAGATGATCATGTTCTGTCCCCGTCCCACACGCACACACACCAACAGACGTCCAAGAGTTAAAAACCAAACCAGCCGACAAAATCCTTTTCCTTATGTTAACGGAACTTGGCAGCAACCTAATGGCTGCCTGCCAAGAGTTTATTACTCACGAAGAGATAACGTCTCTCCGCTTCTGGTACATCAAAGTAAAATGTTCAATAATTACAGAGTAAATCAAGTCCAAATATAATCCAGCAAAGCCTATAGCAAAAGTCCGGCAATGCAGAATGGCGTGGAAGCTTTCAGCTTTGTTCGTCTCAAGGTTTGACTGGCCACCACGCTCCCTTTTATACCCTGTGGGGTGTGGTCCAGTGACTCAGCCTTATCTCGGGCACGCCTTTTCTTCTGTTGGGCGCTTATCTCTGCGACGCTGTCGAGGATCCAGCCAAGACTCATTTCCCTCATCACTGTCCACCTGTGGCTGCGTGGACGTGCTTGGCCCCGGCCCTATCTCTTGCCCTTCGGCGGACACCGAAGGCATTGCTAAAGAGGAGGGTCCTGGAGAGGGAGGCCTTGCCAACTCCTCTCCTTCACTCTCGGAGTCCTCTCCTGCCGATGACACAGGCTCAGGTAACAGAGCCACAACAGATCAGGAGTCTGGAGGCTAAACTGTATGATGAATGGTTAAGGGAACTGGGCATGTCTAATCTAACGAAGAGAAGGACTAGGGGTGACATGATAGCACTCTTCCAATATTTGAGGGGATGTCACAGAGAAGTGGGGGGGGGATCGACCTACTTCCAGAGCACGAGAAGACAGGACAAGAAGTAAAGGGATGAAAGTTTATCTATTATTCAGAATGCCCTTTCTTAATCTCTCTACCTTCTTGATCACAAATGTGACTGAATTGAGTTTCAGCCAAACTATAGTTTAGGGGGAAAAGTCCTGGCATCATTTAAATAGATCACTCTGAACAGTGTAGAAAGTTAAGCACCCACCCCTCTCCTAGAAGAATGAAATATTTTGGGAAATATTAAAAAAGGCAGAATATTGTATTTCCCTAAAGGAGAAACATGCTCTTGGAGAGCAGCCCCCACTTTTTTCAACAGCTCCACCAGGACTGGGCCAGCCTAACTACAAGACAAAAGGCCTTCAGTTCCAGGGTGATGGGATTATCCTTCAGGGCAAAGCCATTCAGCCACAATAGGAACTGCCTTGCATCAGCCCAAGTTTCAACCAAGCTTGACTCAGAAAACCTACCAAGTTAGCTATGAGCCGTGCAAAGCGCCCTGGGAGTCTGACAACCAATAGAATACATTTCTTGCACAGCAACAGGAAGCTCAAGGGCAAGGCCCAAGAGAGGTTATAAATAACTTTCACTCTCCACTCCATCTGGTCAGCTGCCCAGCTCCTGTCCATCAATAAGCCATCTTTCCAATCAGCCTCCATGTTTCCAGTATCTTTCTCCCCACTTGGAACTGAACCAGATGGATATTTCTTCCAACAATAGCAACCTTACATTTTTCAGAGCAATCTTCTGGATTCAGGACAGATCACAAAGCCCCATCCCAATAGGCTTGGCGTGGACAACAGGTTACGTATTTTTGGGCCAAAAATTAACCTCACGGATCTCAGAGGAGATAAAAAAAAAAGAGAGAGAAGGTTTTGAAAGGATTCCTCCAAAATTAGGGTCTGGGCAAAGGTTCTGACTCTAAAACCACTTTCAGCAGCAGAAATACACAAACAGAAATGTCCCTGAGCATACGTGGAGTACTTTTCACTCACCAGAGAACTACAGATAGTCCTCGATTTATGACCGTAACTGAGCCTAAAATTTACGTGGGACTTTTGTTAAGTAAGTTTTGCCTCATTTTACAACCTTTGTTGCCACCGTTGTTAAGTGGATCACGGCAGTCATTACGTCAGTGACACGGTTGTTAAGTGTATCTGATATCCCCCATTGACTTTGCCGGTCAGAAGGTCTCAAAAGGTGAGCCCGGGGACATCACGGCCCGTCATAAATATGAAGCACTTGCCCAAGCATCCAAATTTTGATCCTGTGAGCCTGGGATGCTGCTGCAATGGTCGTAAATGTGAAAAACAGTCATAAGTCAGTTTTTTTCAGTGACATAATTCTGAACAGTCACTAAATGAAGTGTTGTAAATCTAGGACAGTGTTTCTCAATCTTGGAAGCTTGAAGATCCCCAGGGGGGATTCTGGGAGTTGAAGTCCACCCATCTTCAAGCTTCCAAGGTTGAGAAACACTGGTCTAGGATTATAGTTTTTGATTCCTCTCTGAGGAATTTTTATCCCTAAAAATAATAGGGATAATTTCCAGACAAGCACGGGCCTGGTAGCTCAGCAGACTAAAAGCATTGTGATTAACACCAGCTGTCTGCAATTATTGTAAGTTCGAATCTCACCAGGCTCAAGGTTGACTCAGCCTTCCATCCTTTCTAAGGTAGGTAAAATGAGGACCCGGATTATGGGAGCAATAAGCTGACTTTGTATAAATATACAAAAGGATGAAGGCTATTGCCTAACGCATTGTAAGCCACCCTGAGTTTTCGGAGAAGGGCGGCATATAAATCAAATTAAAAAAAAAAAAAATCCTGATCGTTCCCTGGTAGGAAATGCACATATTTTTTTTCAGAATTTATGGGAGGGAAAGATTGCCAAGGACTCGGTCTTCCTTCCCATTATGACTCCTGCAAAAAGGAAGTATCTTGTTCCCAGGAACAAACGAATTTTATATCTCTACCGGGCTAATAAATAATAGAACCAGGATAAATAATCATAAATAATAGGACCCATGTGGGCTTCTAAACTCCCTCGTAGAAAATCCCTCCTGCTTGCCTGTGGTTTTCCTTCAGCAGGTCATTCCTAGGATAGTCCTGACTTTCATTTCAGCACCCCTCCCCCAACCTCCCCCTACCCCCACCCCCAATCAGAGTATCTACTACTTCCTCTTCCTGGACACCAAAGAAACAAAGAGCTGAGCTGCCTTTGCAACACATTGGATTTTCCACCTAGGTCTGCAAAATATAGCTATATATATATATATGTATTGCAATCTCAAGTTTTGGGGCCAACTTCAGCCAGCTGTAGAGAAGAAGAAGAGTACAAGAGAAGGATAACAATTGGGAACAATTAATGTTAAGGCTCTTTCCTATCGGGACAAATGCTGCAAAAAAGCAAGGCAAAGGGTCTCTTACTCTCTCTTCCCCCCCTTCCCTCCCTCCCTCCCTCTCTCTCACACACCCACCCTTATGAGGAAGAGCATCAGGTGGATTTTTGCAAAGATCAAGAGCCTCTTTGCTCAACAGCCTTTGGGGCACAGTAGGCTGGGCTCACACGACCCATCCTGAACCCTAGAATATCATTGATTGTCCAATAATCAGCCGCTCTCCCAGAAATCATTAAGACCCGCTCTGGTTTCACGAGATGGCCCGGTTGCCAGCCCCCCCCCCCGGGCAATACGCCCAGGGCCCTCTCCCCCAACGCCTCCCAGCCCAGCCTAGAGGGTCATGGGTGGTGGTGGTTATGGGTGAGATGGGGGGGGGAGAAGAAGGGCTGGTGGCTTCGTCCCAGGTGCGACCCGACTAGAGAAGCTGCAGCCTCCGGCAGCACTTCCCAAAGCGGCCCGATGCCCATCCGAAACCTGGGGCTGGCAGAAGGCCGGAGGGGCCAAGCAGCCCTGTTTGCAGCAAAGCCCCCCCTCCTGCGCCACCCTCGATCCCTGCCAGAGACCCCTCCACCACTGCCTCCTCATCCCCCTCCCCTCCTCCTCCTCTTCCTCCTCCCCCCTCCTCTCCCTCTTCCTCCCTCCCCTCCCTTCCTCTTCCTCCTTTTCCTCCCTCTTCTTCCCTCCCCTCCTCTTCCACTTCTTCCTCCTTCCCTCCTCCTCCTCTTCTTTGTCCTCCTCCCTCTTCCTCCCTCCCCTCCTCCTCCTCCCCCACCCCTCCTCTTCCTCCCTTCCTCTTCCTCCCTCCCCTCTTCCACTTCTTCCTCCCTCCCCTCCTCCCTCCCCCACCCCTCCTTTTCCTTCCTCTTCCTCCCTCCCCTCTTCCACTTCTTCCTCCTTCCCTCCTCCTCCTCCTCCTCTTCTTTGTCCTCCTCCCTCTTCCTCCCTCCCCTCCTCCTCCTCCCCCTCCCCTCCTCCTCCTCCCTCTTCTTCCTCTTCCTCTTCCTCTTCTTCATTTTCCTCTTCTTCTTCCTCCCTCTTCTTCCTCCTCCTTCTCCCCCTCCTCTTTCTCCCTCCTCCTCTTCCTCTTCTTCCTTTTCTTCCTCCTCCTCCTCCTCTTCCTCCCTCCCCCTCTCCTTCCTCCCCGCCGGCTCACCTGCAGGCCTTTGGAGAGCGGGCAGAAAACCACCAGCTGCACCAACCTCCGGAGCCGCCGCATGCTGGGCTGCCCTGGCCGGCTCCGGCCCCAGCGCTCCCGGAAAGCCCCCGGCGGGGGGAGGCGGCGCTGCGCGAGGACGGGGCCGGCGAAGCGGAGGGAGGGAGGCGGGCGAGGGGCGAGGCAGCCCAGGCCTCCCTCCGCCGCCGGCTCGCCGCAGCGGCTGCTCCTGCGGGTCCGCCCGCCCCTCCTCCTCCTCCTCCTCCCCTTCCAAGGGGGCAGAGCGAGAGCGAGCGAGACCCCCCGAAAAGGGAGCGACCGCCGCGGCTGCGCGAAGCGCCTCGGAGCAGCCAAGGCTGCGGGTCCCCAGAGGCCCTCCACCCGCGGAGGAGCCCCCGCCGGCTTCCCATCCAAGGAGCCCCTTCAGCACCGGCTGGGCGGACGGCTGGCGGGGAAGGGAAGCTCCGTCCCTGGAGGAGGCGCCTTCTCCAGGGCTAGGAAAGAACAAGCGAGGCAGATCAATTCAAAAGAGGTTTTGGATGCTGCAACAGCCCCACCAAGTCCCAAAGGTCGCCCTGAGTCTTCGGAGAGGGGCGGCATATCAATGGAATTAATTAAATTAAATTAAATAATTCAGGTGCTTTTTGTTTTTTTCCCAAGGAGGCAACTGGACTTCCTGGTTTTTTTCTTTTGAAGACGTTTCACTTCTCATCCAAGCAGCTTCTTCAGTGCTGACTGGATGATGGAGGGGAAGGGAAGGATTGATATTCCTTGCAGACAGCTGGTCCTTTGCGGCCTTCCATTCCCCACCACCATCCAGTCAGAGCTGAAGAGGCTTCTTGGATGAGAAGCGAAACTTCTTCAAAAGAAAAAATAAATCAGAAAGTCCAGTTGCCTCCTTGGAAAAAAAACAAAAAGCACTTTTGGGAGAACCACGACCTGGAGGACTGAGGATCTCTACAGACTTTTTAGCTATACAATTTGGGATGAAGACCCTTGGAATGGGGTGGGAGTAGAAATGGGTTTCCAGAGGAAAAATTGCAGGCTACAGGAACCATTTGCACTACTCAGGGGACCCTGAGTGGTGCAGATAAACCTCTAAGTGCTTCAATGACCCTCTAAAAAGATACAAAGGACCAGCTGTCTGCAAGGAATATCAATCCTTCCATTCCCTACCATCCTTCAGAGCTGAAGAAGCTTCTTGGATGAGAAGCTGTAGGAAGTTAGCACCCACCCCTTTCCTAGAGGAATGAAATATTTTGGGAAATATTAAAAAGGCCGAATATTATGTTTCCCTGGATGAGAAATGGAGAAGCATGTTTTAAAGACGAAGCAGCTCCCATCTTCCTGCCCCCACCCTTTGTCAATGGGCCAGAGGCAGAAATTCAATCTTTGTCAATGGACCATCATCTGCAACACAATAGGACCCATCTAGCAACAGAAACTCACCACATGGCACCTGGGAAGATTACATCAGCCAGCAAAGCTAGCTAAGACCCCCACCCCCTGGGAGTCTGACAACCAATCAGGATACTCTTCCTGGGCCCCAGGAAGTTCAAAGGCAGAGAGGGCATAAAACCCGGGGACTCGCTGCGTCTCGCCCTTTTTCTGTTCAGGAACTCAAACCATGTGATCTTTCCAAGCAGTCTCCATGTTTCCAGTGTCTTTTTCCCCACTTGGAGCTGAACCCAGAAGGATATTTCTTCTAACAAAACAAAACGTCTTCAAAGAAAAAAACCAGAAAGTCCAGTTGCCTCCTGAAAAAGCACCTTTGGGACAAACATGACCTGGAGGACTGAGAATCTCTACAGACTTTTTACCTATACAATTTGGGATGAAGACCCTTGGAATGGGGTGAGAGTAGAAATGGGTTTCCAGAGGAAAAAATTGCAGACTACCGGAACCATTTGCACCACTCAGGTGGACCTTGAGGACACAGATAAGCCTCCAAGTGGCCTCAATGACCCTCTAAAAGGATGCAAATGACCAGCTGTCTGCAAGGAATATAAATCCTTCCCTTCCCCACCATCCAGTCAGAGCTGAAGAAGCTTCTTGGATGAGAAGCGAAACGTCTTCAAAGAAAAGCCTGTAGTACAGTGGACTAAGCACTGTTATTAAGAACTGCTGCTTGCAATTACTGTAAATTCGAATCTCACCAGGCTCAAGGTTGATTCAGCCTTCCATCCTTTCTAAGGTGGGTAAAATGAGGACCCAGTTTGTGGGGGCAATAAGCTGACTTTGTATAAATATACAAAAGTATGAAGGCTATTGCTTAACGCACTGTAAGCCGCCCTGAGTCTCTGGAGAAGGGCGGCATATAAATTAAAGCAAAAAAAAACCAAACAAACAAACAAAAAAACAAAGTCCAACTGCCTCCTGAAAAATGCACCTTTGGGACAACCATGACCTGGATAGCTTGAGAATCTCCATAGACTGGAATGCCTAAATTCCCTGGTGTAGAGCTGAGTGAGCTGAATGAACGAAGTATCCAAATGAATATGAGGCTTTTGCTATTGATAACCTGATGCAGGAGTGAAGAAGAGAAAGCAGAGGCCGCAAAGCTGGAGCAGCCCATGAGGGGAAGCTCATCCTTCCCCGCCCTTTTAGAGACCCTCCAAGCCCCAAAGATTAGAAAATGGCCATAGAATGAAGGGATGTCATTTGTTTTGAGTTTTTCTGGTGAGAAAAGGGAGGACCGAGTCTTGAGATCTTCTTTCTTCCTTCTGCAAAGAAGCACCTGCAGTCTTAAGTTGCAGCCCTCAAAATCTAGAATCACAAAATAATGGTGCTTCCTTTCATTGCACCCTGGCCAGCCCACACTTCAAATCCTGCATCCGGTTTTGGTCACCACCACTATAAAAAAGATGCTGAGACTTTAGAAAGAGTGCAGAGAAGAGCAACCAGGATGATGAGGGGACTGGAGGCTAAAACATACAATGAATGATTGCAAGAACTGGGCCTGGCTAGTCTAGGGAAGAGAAGGACCAGAGGAGACAGGATAGCATCTTCCAATATTTGAGGGGCTGCCACAAAGAGGAGGGGCTCAAGCTAATTTCCAAAGCACCCGAAGGCCAGACAAGGAATAATGGATGGAAATTGGACAAGGAGAGATTCAACCTGGAAACAAGGAGGCATTTTCTGACAGTAAAAGCAATCAATCAGTGGAACAGAAGTTGTGGGAGTTGTGGAGACTTTCAAGAAGAGACTGGGCTGCCATCTGTCAGAAATGGTGTAGGGTCTCCTGCTTGGGCAGAGAGGGGGTTGGACTAGATGACCTACAAGGTCCCTTCCAACTCTGTTAATCTGACATTTCAGTATTTGAGGGGCTTCCAGAAAGAGGAAGGGGTCAACTTATTTTTCAAAGGCTAGAAGGCAGGACAAGAAGCAATGGATGGAAATACTCAAGGAGAGAAGCAACCTAGAACGAAGGAGAAACTTCCTAACAGTGAGGACAATTAACCAGAGGAACATCTTGCCACCAGAAATTGTGGGTGCTCCATCACTGGATGTTTTCAAGAAGATCCTAGACAGTCACTTATCTAAAATGGTATAGGTTCTCCTGCTTGAGCAGGGGGCTGGACTAGAAGACCTCCAAGGTCCTATTCTATCTCTTCTCTTCTCTTCTCTTCTCTTCTCTTCTCTTCTCTTCTCTTCTCTTCTCTTCTCTTCTCTTCTCTTCTCCTCTCCACTCCACTCCACTCCACTCCACTCCACTCCACTCCACTCCATCCCATTCTATTTCTTGTTCTGTTCTGTTCTGCTCTGCTCTACTCTGCTCTACTCTACTCTACTCTACTTTACTCTACTCTACTCTACTCTACTCTACTCTACTCTACTCCACTCCACTCCACTCCACTCCACTCCACTCCACTCCATTCTGTTTCTTGTTCTGTTCTGTTCTGTTCTACTCTACTCTGCTCTGCTTTATTCTATTCTATTCTATTCTATTCTATTCTATTCTATTCTATTCTATTCTATGCTATGCTATTCTATTCTATTCTATTCTATTCTATTCTATTCTATTCTATTCTTTCTTTCCAATCTCTTCTCTTCTCTTCTCTTCTCTTTCTTCTCTTCTCTTCTCTTCTCTTCTCTTCTCTTCTCTTCTCTTCTCTTCTCTTCTCTTCTCCTCTCCTCTCCTCTCCTCTCCTCTCCACTCCACTCCACTCCACTCCACTCCACTCCACTCCACTCCATCCCATTCTATTTCTTGTTCTGCTCTGCTCTGCTCTGCTCTGCTCTATTCTACTCTACTCTACTCTACTCTACTCTACTCTACTCTACTCTACTCTACTCTACTCTACTCTACTCCACTCCACTCCACTCCACTCCACTCCACTCCACTCCACTCCACTCCATTCCATTCCATTCTGTTTCTTGTTCTGTTTTTTTTTTTTAATTTGATTTATATGCCGCCCTTCTCCGGAGACTCAGGGCGGCTTACAATGTGTTAAGCAATGTTCTGCTCTGCTCTGCTCTGCTCTATTCTATTCTATTCTATTCTATTCTATTCTATTCTATTCTATTCTATTCTATTCTATTCCTTATTCTATTCCTATTCTATTCTATTCTCTGATATTCTCTTCTCTTCTATTTTCTCTTCTCTTCTCTTCTCTTCTATCCTATCCTATCCTATCCTATCCTATCCTATCCTATCCTATCCTATCCTATCCTATCCTATCCTATCCTATCCTATCCTATCCTATCCTATCCTATTGAGTATATTTTACTTTGTGAACCACAACGTGGGTCTTTGGCGAGTCCCTTATCTACCTGAAAATGCAGGTAACTTGGAGAACTGCTGTCACACTCCCTGTATGCATGTAAGGGGCCTTGTCTTGCTGAGCAGCAGCTGGGTGAAGTTGGTTTGCATTGTAGAATCTAATTCACTGGAGGACAGGTGAATTGCTGGACCTAATTTTCTTACCTGGTCCATTGGCAAACCAGTGAGATACATGCAGCCCTGGACTTATGACCACAACTGAGCCCAAAATTTTTGTTGCTAAGTGAGATATCTCTTAAGTGAGTTTTGCCCCATTTTACTATTTTTCTTCTTGTTAATCGAAACATTGCAGTTGTTAGCTTGTTAAGTTGTTAGGTGAATTGGCTTTGCTGGTCAGAAGGTCACAAGAGCTGTCAGAAAATTCCTCCTTATTTGTAGATTGAATTTCTCCTTGATCAGTTTCTATCCATAATCCATAATTTTGGAAAACAGCTTGCCCCCCTCCTCTCTGTGGCAGCCCCTCAAATATGGGAACCCTGCCATCATGTCTGACTCTGTAAACTGCACTGTGAAGCAGTATATAAGTCTAAGTGCTATTGCTATTAAGCAGGGGTGAAATCTAAATTTTTTTGCTACCGGTTCTGTGGGCGTGGCTTAATTAGTGGGCGTGGCTTAATGGTAAGGTGACT